AGGACCAATGGTGCCGACTCCCCAATAATGTGTTTACACGCATCAGACAGTCCATGAGGAGGCGTTGCCTGGTAGTTGTGAACACACGGGGTAGCCATACATGCTACTGAACGTTTGAAACATCAGAGTAAAGTTTTTGTGATTTGACTCTTTGTTTACGCCTTTTATTCATAAATTCTGTAACCATATGGAATCTATTTTTAGCATTGTGTTTATTCGCAGTTCATCCTATCGACCTTAACAAAAGATATGTACCAGTAAAATGTTTTCATCATATTAACTTACTCTCAGTAGCTATGTGTACTCTGAAAAAAATTCTCCTCTCTAGAGACACCATTTAAGATATCTGTAATACATGTGTGGATATGTATAAATTATTTCAAGATACCTAGAATTGAATTCAAGATATCTTCAATTAATTTCTAATACAATTATGTACACTATGATCGTAATTGTTTTACAGATATCTTCAACACATTTAGAGATATCACGAAATATGTTCTTGATATCTCTATAACATTTTGAGATATCAGTAATTCTGTTTTGGATATAAGAAATTGATTAATGATATCTTCAATTATTTACAGATATCTTTAAAACATTATTGATGTCTTTAAATAAAATACAGACATCTTTAAAACAATTGAAGAGATCTTTAATTTCTTAATGAATGTGAAAACGGCTTGCTGTACGATTGAACTTGGGTGGCTTGCTGTGGTGTCTGTAGGGAACAGTGTATGGATTTTATGTGCGATTCAACCAATCTGTTAATTGTAGGGAGAATGATAAAATAATATGATCTGGCCCTTCTTGAGCTCGGATTATTGTGCTTCACTGACAGAGAATAAAACATACCGTTGACAATATTCAAACTTAGATCATCTAAACTTGGATGAGACTAAAAAATGATCAAAATATCAAAACACTTCAAACTTTTCCGGAGTCATAATAGGAGATAAAATAATATACTTGAATTCATTTTTTTTAAATCAACAGACTTAACTTATGTAAAACTTAAGTAACCAAGATAAAAAGGTCAGGTCTATGAGGTGAAGATTGTTGAGATATCAGTGAATGACACTAATTCTTAATGCTGTGGTACCCGGGAAGATCTGAGTTGGAATTGGTCTTCAGTAACCCATGCTGCCATAAGAGGCGACTAACGGGGTCTGGTGGTCAGACTCGCTGACATGGTTGACACTTATCGGGTCCCAATTGTGTAGATCGATGCTCAAGATGATTATCACTGGATTATCTGGTCCAGATTCGATTATTTACAGACCGCCACCATATAGCGGGAATATTGCTGAGTGTGGCGTGAACCTACACTCAGTCCCTCAGTCGTTAATGCTGTGGATGCGATATTTTAGGCACTAACCATGTTTGGGTGGGTGAAGAGTTGTGAGGTGAGGTGAGGTGAAATTGGATTTAACGTTGTGCTTGAGAATATTTCGCTCATATGACGACGTGCATGCGCGTGTGTGTGTGTGTATGTGCGGCTGCTTGTACTAGCCAAGACTTAAGCTGGTTTTATAGTGCTAGCCCACTGAGATACCATGCCGCAGTGAAGCATGAATACCCCACTCAGACACATTATACTGACTCCGAGCCGACCAGTCCTTGTTGTACCCATTAATGCCGAGCGCCAGGCAGGGACCAACAAGTACCATATTTTAGCGTCTTTTGGTATGACGCGGTCGGGGATCGAACCCGCGACCTTCCGCTCTCCGGGTGGACGCTCTAACCACTACACCACGGAGGCGGTCGAAGAGTTGTGAACGGTCATCAATCGGCTCTGTTCCCTTACATACAACATAGGTTGTAAAGCAGTAAAATCCTCAACCCCTATAATGGCAGGCACTGCGATTGGTTCATTTGTTTGGGGCAGTGGGGTAGAGTACTTGTTAAAGCATATGCTCATCACCCTAAACCAGTTTGATTTCCCACACAGGGTGTGAATTCCTTTTCTGGTGTCCCCTGCCGCGATGTTGCTAGAATTTGGTAAAGGCAGAGTAAACCCATACTCACTCACTCTAGTTTTCATACCAGTGACCCAGCTGTGTTCATGATATCCACTTTCGACTCACTCACTTGAAAGCTCTCACGAGGGCAGTTGGGTAGCCTAGCCTAGTGTTCGCTCGTTACACCGAAGGCCCGTGTTCCATTCCCCACATGGGTACAATGTGTAAAGACCATGTCTGGAATCTCCCTCCGTGATATTGCTGGAATATTGTAATAAGTGGCGTAAAACTAAACTCACTCACTCACTCAAAGCTAAATGTCATTTCTGCTTACTGTCAATAAACACGACATATCCATATGAACTCTGTAATTGTAGAATCATGAGGTGTTTATGAATCACAAATAAATAACGATACCCGTGTTGACAAAAAGCATCATGCCCGATCAATTGTTCTTTCTTCAAGAACATAGGTACATGTACAAACAGGGAACCGATTTGGACATGATTTTGTCATTAATGTTTCCCATTTGAAAATGTCTTCATGTCTACCATAAAACTTTTCTTTATGCTGCGGCTTTGAATGTTGTGATCTTAATCAAATTACTTTCGGGCAAGATACTGTTACAAATCTTCTTAGAACATATTGTTCCTCAACCCTACTGAAATGTACTGAATCCAAAGGCTGGAGCCTTATATTGTTAAACAATATCCACTCCCAGTATCTGTCAAAACTAGGACCTTTATACTGAAACTCTGTAGTTTTAAGGAGGCGATGGGGTAGCCTAGTGGTTCAAGTGTTCTCTCATCATGCTGAAGACCTGGTTGGGCACAATGTGTGAAGTCCATTTCTGGTGTCCATTGCTGTGATATTGCTGGAATATTGCTGGAACATTGCTGGAATATTGCTGTGATATTGCTGTGACATTGCTGGAATATTGCTGTGATATTGCTGGAATATTGCTGTGATATTGCTGGAATATTGCTGTGATATTGCTGGAATACGCCTTTGATATTGCTGTGATATTGCTGTGAATCATCCTTGCTTGTGATATTGCAAAATGGAATATTGCTGCGATCTTTAATTTCTTAATGTTGCTGTGACGATTGCTGTGGCTTATTGCTGTGGAATGTATTGCTGTGATCAACCAATTGTTAATTGTAGGAGAATGATAAAACAATATGATCTGCCCTTCTTGCTGATATTGTGCTTCACTGGAATAAAACATATGTTGCAATATTCAAACTTAGATATTAAACTTGGAGACTAAAAAAATGATCAAAATATCAAAACACTTCAAACTTTTGTCATAATAGGAGATAAAAATAATATACTTGAATATTTTTAAATCAACAGCTTATGGAAGGTCAGGGCCCCGTTTGCTGTAGGCCTAAGATATTGCTCGTAGCATTCGTACCTCTTGCTGTAACATGATGTAATGATTGCTGATATTGCTGGAATTTGGAACCAGGTCTTGCAGTGAATGATATTCTTAATGCTGTGGTACCCTGGAAGATCTGAGATATTGCTGTAACCCATGGAATGCCATAAGAGGCGACTAACGGGATATTGCTGATATTGCTGGAATATTGCTGTGATATTGCTGGAATGTTGCTGTGATATTGCTGGAATATTGCTGTGATATTGCTGGAATATTGCTGTGATATTGCTGGAATATTGCTGAATATTGCTGTGATATTGCTGGAATATTGCTGTGATATTGGTGGAATCTTGCTGTGATATTGCTGGAATGTTGCTAGAATATTGCTGATATTGCTGGAATGTTGCTGTGATATTGCTGGAATATTGCTGATATTGCTGGAATATTGCTGTGATATTGCTGGAATGTTGCTGTGATATTGCTGGAATGTTGCTGGAATATTGCTGATATTGCTGTGATATTGCTGGAATATTGCTGTGATATTGGTGGAATCTTGCTGTGATATTGCTGGAATGTTGCTAGAATATTGTGATATTGCTGGAATATTGCTGGAATTTTGCTGTGATATTGCTGGAATGTTGCTGGAATATTGCCGTGATATTGCTGGAATGTTGCTGTGATATTGCGGAATATTGCTGGAATGTTGCTGTGATATTGCTGGAATATTGCTGTGATATTGCTGGAATATTGCTGTGATATTGCTGGAATATTGCTGTGATATTGCTGAATATTGAATATGTTGCTGTGATATTGCTGGAATATTGCTGTGATATTGCTGGAATATTGCTGTGATATTGCTGGAATATTGCTGTGATATTGCTGGAATATTGCTGGAATAGTTGCTGGAATGTTGCTGTGATATTGCTGGAATGTTGCTGTGATATTGCTGGAATATTGCTGTGATATTGCTGGAATGTTGCTGTGATATTGCTGGAATGTTGCTGTGATATTGCTGGAATATTGCTGGAATATTGCTGTGATATTGCTGTGATATTGCTGTGATATTGCTGGAATATTGCTGTGATATTGCTGGAATGTTGCTGTGATATTGCTGGAATATTGCTCGCCCTGTATATATGTTTTATGGATAACATGTTTTTATTCTTTATACAATGTTTCAGACCTAATTCTTGCTCCTCCGTCAGGTGAATGATAGAACAAGAATTAGCCCTGAAACGTCACATAAGGAACCATTCATGATTTATGGCTGGGGGGTGTAATGATGATTTTTAGAGGGGTAGGGGTTCACCCATTTTGTTCTGGTGGGGAGGTAGGGGAGTAATCAAGTTTGAACACAGGTACTAGGGGGTCAGCAATTTTGTACATGGCAATATTATAAAATAATGCTGATACATAAAGTTTAGGGGGGTCATTCACATTGTACATGCTTCTCCATAAATATCATCATCATCCCCCCTAGCCATAAATTATGAACGGTCCCTAAAGATTAAAAAGAAGTTGTTATCCATAAAACATGTCATGTGTTCATGTTTGTCCACCTTCCAAAATCCTTACAGAACTTTGCTATAACTTTATCTGTAGCCTCAACAGGCCACAGTGCAACAGATCGCAACAAAAACAACACAACTCAGTCAAAGTAAATTCAATATTTTTGCTCCTTTTACTTCAAATCTAGTCACATAGAACAGTCAGCGATTAGAACAGGGCAGATCAGAACTTATGATACAATACATCCTTTTGATAGAACTTAAACTTGGCTACATGATTGGCGGCAGACTGCAGGAAATACAGATTTGACACTGTTGCAAGTAGAAACCGAGGCGGCGGCGGAGGCAGCAAGTATTCAATATAATACAGTATAGAGAAAGTGTCTTAAGCACAAACAGCTTCATTGAGCAAGTGGAAACATCAATTTGAAGAATTAGATTTCTTTTTGGAATAAAAGGTACATGTTATACCATTTTTAGCAAGAATCGGCAAATACGTACCAGTATTGATCAACCGAAATGATCCAGAAGAAAATAACATGGTCTTTAGAAGTTACTAGGTGATTGCCCATCCATTGTGTTGTTAATTTGTTTCCGTACGGAGTTCAAACAAAAAACAACACTTGTATGACAGCATCTCAGACCTTTATATCCTGACAGAAAAAGAAGGCTGCATTTTGGCTTTGCTTTTCTTGCACCATGCAAATGTGGTAGGATTTTGACAGCAGAGAAAAGACAGTTTACAAATCCAGTCTTTTTTCCAATCACTATACAGACATTTTATTTACATTTCAACGTTGGTTACGCACACAAAATATAGAACAATAAATACCTACATACATAGATACAAAATTAACAGATGACTGTACAATATGTATAAAATCCACAATGATATTGCTTTTAAGAATGAGAACATACAGGGTATACAAAACCGTCTACTTGTCACTGGGAAGTAATAAATGACAATAGTTGTTTAGAACATAGTTTCTTCAATCTTGTCGATAAATGATGCACAGGGTTGTCGTGCATTACATGTTAGTTCTAGAACAGGGTCATATTTGGGACCCCTTCTTCAAAAATATGAATGAATTTGTGTAACTATTCCTCCATGGTTGGATTTGTCGTACTCTGCAAAGTCTGCTCCTGTCTGTACATGAGAAACACAATCGCACATATACCTTCATAGACACGGGATTGGTATAAAACAAACCTTAATGAAACAAACAAAAAAATAATCCCAAATATTCAAACCAGAAATATCACAGTGTGAAACTATTGCAGTTTATGTCTGATTCTCTGATATTCCTAAAGTACGGTTTAGCAGATCAACTCTTACATTTCAAAGCAAAGGTTATGAATAGCTACGTTATCAAAACCTACGAAAACAAAATCGGAACTTTCACATTCAAAGTGAACTCAGCTGATGCTAATTTGATTGGCTTACAAAACATGAACATTTTAAGAGTTTACCCCAACAAATAAACTGTATTCTCCATTATGCATACTGATTGGTCGGCCTCCACTAGTGTAATAACCCGCTGTACAGTAATTGAGACAAGCAATGTACATGAAACAAGATGCTATACACAATCTGTACCCTTACATTCACAGACAACGTCAAATCTGCATAAATGGTTGAAAAATACTGATCAATGTAGACTTATGCAAAAAAAACCACTTTAATTTCTTTACTGGGCTTTGCTGTAGATTATGTTTGTTTCATCTGCTCATCAAAAACAAATGGTTTGTGAGCACAACGAGCCACAGACATGAAATTTCATTACAAACTCAAATTAGCTAGAACTAATAAATAAATACTTGAGACTTTCCATTGAATGGAGATCAATAAAATAGAAGGAAAATGTAGTTTTTTATTATGACAACGACGAAAACTCGCCAGGAATTGATCCAAATTTATGCAGGGGTTCCTATATAAATATGCATATTCATATGTACACATTTCCCGGAGAGATATGACACATGCGTCCATCTTTCTGTGAAATGAAGGATGATATTATTTGCAGGACAGACTCACAAAGCTGTTGCTAGGTAAAACTGGTGTACAAATTGTCAATGTTTGTATAACAAAAGCACGAAAATCTCTTCCCTCTATGAGTCCAACCTGCCATATTCAACACATACATCCAATTAAGTGGGAAACATGGCTCCTCCACACAAATATACATCCGTATATTCTCGTATGACAGATCTAGGGCACAGCTATATGGTAATCAAAATGGAGGAACGAGAAACAATGCCGGGGTTCCGCAATTCTGCTCGACGAATGAATAGCAAATATATATCTTCATAGTCCATAGGAAACAAACTTGCAGCGGCAACTACAAACCTACTGCCGCAACAATCGTGTATAGGTCCAACTGTCTACGTAAAAAATGATGCAGTTTCCAATAGGACTGGTTTCCAGAGAATAATGTTATAGTTTATGGCAAGACGCGACCGTATGTATTCGACGGCATTATGAAATCCATTAGCACTTTCAAACACGCCATCCTTGGAGAATATGCAGAACTATGTACAATGTAGTAGACTCCGTGAACAGTGAATCGCAATAAATGCTCTGAATGGATTTCTTAGCACCATATACAGCTGAAGGTCAATGGTTAAAGGTCAACAAGCACTGATGAACTTAACAGCGACAATAACCTTGGCGAAGGTCATAGCAGAGCAAACGGATGATGAGCCCACAAAACCTTTTTTTTGTCCTGTACATTTCCTTTGAAAGCGCCTCTACAGTAGTTGTGGTTTTGGTTGCACATTTCTAACTCTGATGGGAAATATATTTGGGAGTACTACAGAGGTCGATCACACAACAGGCACCTGTCTAAACAGTACTTGATAGTGCACCGCTCTGAGGGATCCTTTGGTGTTACCTCACACAAATGTCGACCTGGATAGAAGATGTGTTTCTTTGTGGGCAGCACAAGCAGTACATTGCCTTTCATTGCACGTCACACGTCACACGAGTAGAATACTCCCAATGTGTCCAGTGAATTCACACAATTTGAGTGAAGAACATCGAAGAGCAGTGGAGAGACCGTTCATCACTGTTCTAGTTCTCAAGACAACTCTCTTCCATTTCCATTTGCACGGGAAAAGATCAGTTTATATGTTTTCGTATGAAATGTGCTTCATTTATCCTCACTTGCCACCTCAACGGATGCATGATTTATGTCTTTTGGCCGAGGTAATTTGGTGTCTTAGAATTTTCTACCACTGCACACGAGGTATGAATGTCCTTCTAGCTGAACCATCCAGTTTGGATCAAATCTAGCACCAAAAGTGATGGATCTCCTCTCAGACAGTTGTAGACTGCTTTCACGGATCTTCCTGGATCCAGGTACTGTACTCCACATTCAGAGGATTGGTATATTGCCAATCAAAAGTATGCGAACCAACAATATTGCTAGTGTTAGTCCTGACTTCTTTCACAGATCGCTCATGGCTGTGACAGCCATGCTGCTAGTCTACAGATAACCTGTTGGACACGTGGATCTTGGCTTGTATCATACACTGTCTGTCCTGCCGATCCGTCATGTAGACATGCAGTGCCATGTACACAGATACCACTGAAGCGGATATCACATGAAGCATAGACAGGGCAACCCTGCCATGTTGCCATGCCAACCATACATGGTCACTATGGTTACAAAGCAATCTTCTTCATCTACACACACAATTTCTTTAGATCCACATTCCACCAGCTAGACATTATAGCAATTTAGCATGAAGTCATCTAAAGCCATCACAGGTCATGTGACCAATTCATCAAGCTCACTTTCCACATCAATTTTCTATGCTATGGGGATCTGAAACAGAAAGGAAATTCTCATTATCAACAGACATTAACTCGTTACCCTTAGCAAACAATACATAGCATCTGAATTGAACAGAACATTTGGAATGTAGGTTCCATTGTCACATTTCAAAACGTGGACAATTTGTAGAAACTTGCTTGCATATTGCATGCTTTTTCAAATGCTCGGATACAAATACACACCTGCAACCTGTGGCATGCAAACATTTGATTTATCACACATCTCACTCCACAACTATTAATTATCAAAATGTTCAGATTTAAATTAAATGGCAACAGTATATTCATGATTACTTTTCCTGCATTCAAAAAGTATTAAATTTAAGAGTAAATGTGGTAACAGGAACAGATGAAAATGAAAAATGGTTATATAATTACATGATATGTATTTGGAATATTATGCTTGATGATATGCATTAAGCTTATATGTTGATATATACATATATGATGGTTATATTGGTTATATGAAACAATACCACATGTACACAGGTTTCATAAGCTCATTCATGTGATAGAACGGATTATACAGCTGTGAAATACATTTCTGCCAGGCACCAACTACTCCTAAGTGTATGACGCCATTCAATCAGGACCGTTTGACTACCCCTGATTACTGTTGCTCTCTAACAGTGAGAGGACATGGTTTAATTGTTATTAGCAATCTATATCAAACTAGGCTGTAATGCTTGCAATCACTACACAAAGATCTGACATCACTTCACGAGTCATGTGAAAACCATCTGGCCAATCAGAACACTGCTTACACCTGGTACAAAGTCTGTGTTTTCTAATCCTGCAATCTTGAAAGGTTAACATGATGCGTTCCTAATGACAGTTACAAAACTGATGCTAATGCTACACATCATCTGTATTTTGCTTCATTGGGATAAACATTTGAAATGGAACTATATTTTCATAGTCTGGCAAGTACTGCCATAGAATCTCGGTCATCACTTAGACATTCCAAAATGTTCTTTTGTTCAATGATCAAACTTCAATTCTTGTCAAAATATTTTGCAAGTTGAAACTGGAACAGAGTTGCCATTTTGAAACAGTAGTGAAACTTAAGGAAGCTGCTTTCCGATTGGCTAATGTCAAGTTCCTGTTTTTTCATCGGTTGGTTAAAAGTTTGTGAGAAAAATTGAAAAAATAAATTGTGACGTTCTCAGATCTTTGTATCAGTAGCGTGCACAAGACCTGCTATGAGACTGTTGGCGTCAGAAGAGTAAAAGGATGGGGCTCCGCGGTAGACTGAACCTGGTCCGTTCAGCGCCAATATACTTACATCACTCCCTGACTGATACAGATTGCTATTTGACGGTGGCATGGGTATACCATACACACTGCCGTCCTGGGAGCCGTACATGGGGTCTTGTGGGGGTGGCAATGCGGGGTATCGTGCAGTAAATGTGGCCATTGTTGGCCATTCCTGGAGACATGTAGCCAGCTTGGCTCTTCCCAGACAAAGATGACCGAGTGGAACCACATGGACTTGTGGGTAGGGCGGCGGGCATTGGGAAATTGGGTCTGTAGTACATGGGTAGGTCAGCGACTGAAAGTGGGTCAAAAGCAAAGCATAATGTAGGCACAAGCTATATAAGCACATGAGCAGCGAAGATCAGCAGGACCGTGGAGTGCTCGGCATGTTCCTCATGGTGGAAGCACAAGACTTCAAGCATCACTCCACAATGCTAAATATGAGATATATGCTTAGCACAGCAAGATTGAGCTGCTAGTATGCTCACTATAAATAGATAAGACAGAAGTGCAGTACAGTGCTCATCAGGATGGCAGCAAAGTTTTTGGCACATTTCAGATTCCAGATCACCATAAACTTTGACTGCCTCAGTCATATGCGTTGTGAGTTAATATATCATATCTAGAAAGTGTGACACTTTACATAACAACCTGAGTACTAATTGATTCAAAGTATCAAAAACAATTTATTGGACGGAACATGTTATAGATAAAAAATAAAACAAAGTTAAAACTAAATTTAATTCCAGTTAAATAAATTTTGATTAGTTTTGGGATGTGGTCATTAAAACTGGATGAACGTCTAGTGACATTACACTACTGAAAAACTGTCCTTGTGAAACCCAATCAGTCACACTATCTATGCTGAAGAATATTGGTGATAAACATTGGTTAGGCAGCCCTCACACACAAGGCCAGACTTTTTAAAAAAATGGTTTAAAATTATCAAAAATGGAATTGGGAAAAATACACACACGAAAATGGTTTTTGGTTTTATAGTTTTGCTGACCGGAAATAACAGAACTGATTTCCTGTCGCAATAAATGTGAATAAATTATTTTGTCCTTAAAAGCTGTTGAAAATTTACATTAAGGCTTCAAATCACAAATCATGATAGAAGTAATGACAAATATTTGAAATTGGAATAAAAAATATTCTTTCGACCTAACCAAAAGCAAAAGATCTGGCCCGTGTGGTAGACATGTTAGTTGTCCAACCCTGACATCCACGACCAAAACATGCTGCTGTGAACATCACACAATCATCAGCAAAGGCACTTCCAAACGTGTAGGATTCAAACATTTAGTGTCGCCTGCCAAGTCAGTTGTTAGTTTTTGTAGCAAAAACAAGGACAAACGATAAGAACTAGCATACAAGTGCAGCCTGACCCACAAAACAAATCTTGGCCAACCTCAACGATACAAGTCCAAATTCACGTTTTAATGTAAATTTTTTTTTTCATATGCTATTGACCTTGCAACTATTTCAGATGCAAGGATTGTGAGGTGGCAAGACTTGTGAAGGAGACAAGGACTGAATACTGTATTTGCAATGCTTGGTCTCTCTGCATTCAGTTGGGGGTGAAACAACTCGTCACAACAACGACCTACCTCCATTCTGGCTATCACAGGGTGCGTAGGACAGGCATGAGTCCATCTGGTCAGTACGGCCACGGCAGCCATACTTCTTGGCTGGACAAAAATAAAATAAACATTGGAATGATGTGTTGGAAACAAAGGAACTTGTTGGACTGACATTTATATTGCTAGTGTTAGGAATCGAAACCAAATCCACTATGGGAGGACTTGTGGTGAACGATTATCGATTATCGATTTTAATCGAAAATATATTCATTTTTAATGTAATCAGCAATTTTAAGGGTTTTTCCCCAGGTTTTTTTTCTAATTACTGTTTTTTATAACTAATACTGTCATGCAATGAAATGCACACATACAAGAAAGACACTGGAATTGTAACTAAACAATAAAAGTGGTTAAAATATTACAATGCTTACTGTCATGCTTTCATTACTTGATTACATTTTTCTATATCATTAAATATATATAACCATCATTCATGAGTGTCCTGAATATTCGTCAAATCTAATGGTTAGTTTACTTCATTCAATGTGTTATACTAAAACAACAAAATTCCGTTTTATCGAAAATATGTTTTTAACAATCAATAATTATCTTTAATCCTTCTTTCGATTGATTTTCAATTATTTTCGATCATCGGAACACCACTATATATTGCATACCATTATTCAAAGACCTGGCGCGGTACATTAGGATTTTGGTGCTACACAAGCCAAGAGAATGTGAGTAGGTTAACATCACCAAATGGAAGCAAATACATTAGTTGTAAACACGTTCTGCTTCCTTATAAATGACACAATTTGCCTAATATGTTAATCAGAACAGAAATCTTAAACAGTACTAAAGTATGTTTTTGATACTTAGACAGGCATGGTATTCTAACAATTAATTAATTACAGAGTTCAATATTGTTAAATACGTCAGTGGATATGACTGCAAATTACAATTTACTTATTTTTTCCTAGCTTTCCGAAATAAAATGCATTATATTTTTTTTTTTAAATTTTAATCAAATGTTTTCGATAAAAAAGCCACAATTACTGGTATAAATTGACAAAGTTAGAAATAGAATGCACAGACACAGATACAGCATCTATCTGGAGCAGTGACATTGTTTACCTTGATCAACAAGTTGTTTCTTTCGTTGTGACCTTGGATAGGGTTTATGAACCACAGCGCTGTAGTTGCTGTCTGTACTGTAGGGGCTGGTTGGTCGCTGTTGACGATGATGCTTCCTGTATTTCTTCCCTGTAATAGATACAGTGTTCTTGACTGCATGCATACAGTTACATGAGGATGGACACTGATCGGACAGTACTTGATGAGCCCCTGCTGAATGTGATGGACATCTCGCCAACTAACTGTATTATTATTATTACTATGCTAATGCTTATTTAGCGCCAATATCAAGCTCAGCTGTTTTTCCCTCGATCATTGGATGTCAATCTCAAACGGTGCATCATATCATCAATCTCAACTCCCTGGGGAGCATAGAACTATACCATGAAAACTGTCACTCTTGTCATAGATATTATCTTGTGTTTTTTTCCCTTGATTTGAATCCGAAAATATTATCAGCTACGTTTAGTAGTTTATCAGATTCAGATTCATCATGACAGTTTGTTAATGACCAGAAAGGGTGCAATGAAGTGTGCGCACCCCCTTTGTGCTGACAGTTTGTTAAATGACCATTGAAACCTTAAGTCTGATGAAAAATGAAGTGTGCACCCTCCTTTACTCAATAGTGTGCTTAGCCCCTTTCTCTAAAAGCTGTAGCCCTAGCACCTTAAGTCTATCATGAACTGAAGAGATAATTTCTTCAAATTTAAATTTTGAAGGGTATCTAATAGCTACCAAGGTGCTGTTGTACAAAACGACCTTAGCCCTAGGACGACCTTAAGTCTATGATAAGGTATGGGTGTTACGGTCACCTTAGCCCTAGGACGACCTTTAGTCTATGATAAGGTATGGGTGTTACGGTCACCTTAGCCCTAGGACGACCTTAAGTCTATGATAAGGTATGGGTGTTACGGTCACCTTAGCCCTAGGACGACCTTAAGTCTATGATAAGGTATGGGTGTTACGGTCACCTTTAGCCTTAAGTCTATGGGGTTACGGTCACCTTAGCCCTAGGGCGACCTTAAGTCTATGATAAGGTATGGATAAGGTATTACGGTCACCTTAGCCCTACCTTAAGTCTATGATAAGGTATGGATGTTACGGTCACCTTAGCCCTAAGTCTATGATAAGGTATGGGTGTGTTACGGTCACCTTTAGCCCTATGATAAGGTATGGGGACGGAGCCCTTAAAGTCTATGATAAGGTATGGGTAGGGCGATCTACCTTTAGTTACGGTCACCTTAGCCCTAGGGACGACCTTAAGTCTATGATAAAGGTTACGGTCACCTTAGCCCTAGGACTACCTTAAGTCTATGATTATGGGTGGTCACCTTAGCCCTAGGACGACCTTAAGTCTATGATAAGGTATGGGTGTTACGGTCACCTTAGCCCTAGGACGACCTTTAGTCTATGATAAGGTATGGGTGTTACGGTCACCTTAGCCCTAGGACGACCTTAAGTCTATGATAAGGTATGGGTGTTACGGTCACCTGAGCGGTAAGCTCGCTTTGTACAATGGAACCCTGCACATTATAGCTGAAATACTCCATCAGTAGTTACACAACTTGTTTTGCTTGGAGGAATACAGAGTATGTAAATATGATTTGTCTACCAACAACCAACAAGGGCTCCTCAAGTAATGAACATCTTCACAAACTTACAAGCGTAAGTTACATGTTTCAGATATTGAAAGGCTTTATCATTAAGTCTTAGAACAACAGAAATTACAGTTGGAAACAATAGAAAATGTAATGAAACAAACACAACCAAACTGTAGAAATGATCAACGCAAGAGGATGTAGAAAGGAAACTCGTGTGGAGACAAGTCCACATAAAAATAACTACGATAATTATGTATACACTGGCGCATCTTACCATTCTTGGGATCTGACACGGTAGTTCCCACCACAGTCATTCCTGACAATTCTGCCGCACGAGCAACAGCCGTGGCAAAATCGGTTTCTGCGGCAAGAAATGAGCCTTCACTTGAACTGGCAGCACTAGATCTTAGACTACTACAACTGGTATTGCTTTGGTCGGTAACACTTGCCCATGATGCTAGTACGGAGCCTGCAGGGGAATAACACTACCTTGAGAACTTGTGTTAATGAACTGGGCTGAGCATGCACCCGAACACACACACAACCAGGTACACACGTACTGAGGACCACAAGGACATATGCAGTAGCTGTGGATACATACAGGGGGTCACCCTCGTGGCTTTTGATGTCAACTATATGAAAACATGCCGATAAAAGGTTAAAGGTTAGAGTTTTAAAATTTTATCAACTTTTGTTGACATACTTGATAATAAAAGACAGTGCAACACAAGCTGATAAGAGTTTAAAAGTCTTGACTTTTAAAGTTTATCGACTTTCGTTGACATACTTAATGGTAATAAAAGGAGGGTGAAATTGTATTTATCATCCAAAATCGGTCTTCCAAATTTTCATTTGTAAACCGCCATAAGCAGTGTATTCAGTGTAAAACAGCTAACCAGCAGAGATTGATGTCATGTGACTGTGACATCATGGTGACTGATGACATCACAATGGTCGCCAAAGTATCGTAATCAAATTTCTTGCACGACAAATCCAAGGACATATCACTTTATCTCAACCAAGTAATATCTCCGGCTGAAGGTTGTTTTGGATGATAAAATTGTCACCTACATGCTCTATTTAGTTCAACCTAAACAACATCTTGTGCCCCTAATTGTGTGGGTATGGTGAATATACAACTTATTTGGGGGTTCAGTAAAGGGAGGTAATGCTGTTTTGTAAATGAAAACTGTCATTACTATTCATCTGCAAATATTTTGTGTTTGATTTTATGGGGTCAGTCAACCAAAGTATAGGTATAGGGAGTTATTCTCCAATTGACAGCAAGGATAAATTTCATTTTTTGTGAAAAACAAAACTATCTAGATACTTTCATGAATCTGAATATATTAAGGAAATGTTTCATCAACACTGAATATATAGTTCTAAGAGGTTGTAGGTTTGTTTGTTGTTCAATATCACATTTAGCACTTCCTGCTGTATGGGGTTTTCTGTAAACGGCTGAGTCTGGACCAGCCTAGTGATCGACATCATGAGCATCAGCCACATCAGATGACCTGACCACATGATTTTGTCGCCTCTTACAGCAAGAATGGGTTGCTGAAGTCCAGTTCTAATCCAGAAGTTGTTATCCACAAAACATGTCATGTATTCATGTTCTTCTAACTTCTAAAAGCCTTTCATGAACTTAATCCCGATCTGCGTGAGGCATGGTTAATGGGAGTGGGAGACAGGACATTGTTAGAGGTTGTGCAACGTGCCCTGCATACCCTCCCAGTTGTGACGGGGAATTCCGTGGGACCCTGGCGTGAGACAACCAACACGTACAAAACTTAGTGTGCACGCTTCACTACAGTGCCAAAGCGACCAGTCGTTAGTAGCTAGGATACAAGTCTGACAAGCATCACAGCATCACAAAGTTACATCAATCTCACCAGAGTAGGTTAGTGATGAGAAAATGCCATTAAATTGTTTGCCATTGTAACATAATTTAAATCACTTTGCAAGCAGAAATCAATGTAAAAGAAAAGCAAACAAAGATGTTTCTAAAAAGGTGATAGTCTGTTTCGGCAAAAAGTAGAAAGTTGACAAAACACAATCATGCAGGTAACAAAGATGGTACATACATATGACATGTAACAGGTATGCATCAAAAAACTTTTAAATATGAATGATATTTAGCATTATTTTTACATCTTCAAAACCAACCAGCATATATCATATCAAAGACCAACACAAGAAAATAAATTCCAATTCAAAATATTCACATTGAACCTGAGTTTCGAAAAATCTGGTTGTCATGCTGATATGTTTATACATTAACAGTGAGACAACCAATCCTTCAAATAGAAATTTTGCTGTGAAATTTAGCTTTATTATTTTTAATAAGGACCAAACCAGGTCATTTCAAAACTTTAACATCATTAAAACATCTCTCACAATGCACTATTAATTTTGACCTTCCAACCAAATTTATTTTACTATGAACCTGGCCGATATAGCCTTAGAGGATGCACTCACCAGATACACTTCCGTCTCCCTCCCCGTTCATGCTGGAGTCCGGGGTGGGGCAGTCCGTCAGTCTGTTCCCCTCCATATCAGACTCCCCTGCATAATCCTGAAGATCCTCCGACGTGGGGGAGTCAGCGTTCCTAGGGGAGACATACAGGACACATGCTTACAGCGGTTTCTCCATTATATATCTTACATACTTATTGCCTTCAGTACATCACTGACTTGTTCTTTCTTCTTTTCATTTTAAACTTAAGGTTTGATTGTCCCCTGTAGCTCAAGAAATTTATGCAAGTGTTGAAATGTATCATGTATCATGATATTAATTTCTCTTTGAACATCAAAACCTAATCAGCTCAATGTAACATGCAGACATAGAATCCCATGACATAGTGTCTGATGATAGAAGTGTCATTGTATATCTTCACAAACTTACTTCAACTGCTTGATATGTGATCTAACTTCTATGGAATCACAAGCAAGAAATTCCATATAATATGCATATTGAAAGTATACTGGTCAGGTAAGTGAGTGAGTGAGTTCGGTTTTACGCCGCTTTCAGCCAATTCCAGCAATATCACTGTGGAGGACACCAGAAATGGGCTTCACACATTGTACCCATGTGGGGAACAGTTCTTCAGCATTACAAGCAGTCACTTTAACCATTAGGCTACCCACTGCCCCTCCTTGTACACAGTGAACTATGACACATAGCTGTTGGGCGATAAATGCTACTCTTTATTGTGAGCTTTATCAATGTAAGCAGGGACAATCAAATATTTGGGAACAGTTTTTCACACGCACTAATTTCAAGCTTTCGTTATTAATGATTTTCAGTACTTAACAAAATGATCTGGATCTGAAAATGATGAACATGTTGGACCTACCTGCCGTGACACACAGGAGAGTGCATGCATTCACTGGCGAGGCTGGGGAGAGAGGACTGACACGCCCGGTCCATCAGGGGGTTCTCTGTGGAATTCATGCTATGAGGACACATCCGAGACGGAGGGAGAGGACCCTGTTCAGGATCGCTTAAATGTCTAAGATCATTCTCCATCTGTTTAATTTTATATCCATGTAATGACGTGGGTCCGTAAGCCTGCATTGGCATGTGTGTTCGCTCGGCGTCACTGTGATACGGACGCTGTAGGTATATGTGACAATCATTACCTCCCCCGTGACACGGAGGGTACATGAACCCACGTGGGGACTGGGCCCTCCCATCGTGTGTTGGAGACTGAGTCCTTTGTCGGTTGTTATTGAGCTGTTTGGGAGAATATGGCCGACAATCGTGCATCCTTGGCTGGGTTCCGAACTCAGTATCAGAGTATGGCACACACCTAATGTTTGCTGGCATTCGGTCGTGAGGAACAGGGCAAGAACATGCCGAAATCTTGGAGACAGGAGAAAGAGGACTACGGTTATTCATTTGACGTTGACGTTCCATTCTGTTGAGAGTATTCATGGGCGATTCTGGGGGGGTTCCAATGTCGCTTGGAGGGGGATGTTCCGGGGGAGGTGGGAGTAGTTCTGCCCAGTTGACCATGGCCTGTTTTCCCTGGCAACATGGCTTCGAGCTTTCTTTGTCCTCTTGACAGGCATTCCATATTCATCTGCAAAACAACAACATAAACATTTACTTAGATGTCTGTTCAAATGCTTTATCATTTTTTATCATTTTGATGTTTAACATAACTCCGCATTATTGCTTCGATATGGCCACTGCCTACAAATATACAAAACTGGGTCAGACAATCAAGTGATTGAAATTGTGAGAAACAATCAACACCACTATTGTATGAAGAGTGAGTGAGTGAGTGAGTGGTATTATGCCACTTTTAGCAATATTCCAGCAATATCACGGCGGGGGGACCAGAAATGGGCTTCACACATTGTACCCATGTGGGGAATGGAACCCGGGTCTTCAGCGTGATGAGCGAATGCTTAACCATTAGGCTATTGTATGAAGAGCCAGGATAACAAGCCTGACCAACCAGTTCATTTGGTCATGTGTAACAACCAATGGTTTGGGGGATCTGCCGATTTGGAAAACCACGGTGTAGCTGTAGAAATCATTAAACCTGTGGAAGAGTGACATACCTGTAGTGAGGCTACCACTATCGCTGCCAGGACTGGCCAAGCACTGGATCTCGTCGTGGGTACACCCTGTGTTGGGTCTGCTGTTGTCGGTGTTGGAATCGCTGGTCCGTAGTTCCGGTTTCTGGCAGCTGTCTCCAGACCCACTGGCACTGCTATGGACGTAGGCATGGTTGATTGGGCGGAAAGCACTCTCCATTCCCTGCAACAAAAACATCAACCTCAGCTTCAGGTAATCAACCAACAGACATATAATACAGCGGCCCCTTGGGACCAGTTAATTACAAGTGTAGAAGTGCTCACAGCTCACAGCTCACATATCCCCACTTCCTCTTTGGGACATGGAAATGAAATTCTGATAAACAATAAAATTGCAAAATGCACATCTGTGGGTCATGATTGACTTGCGTGTAAAGTTTGGTGAACCTTACATGTATAGTTTTGGTGATATGCCCCAGACAATATAACCATCAAACACATTTTGCACTAAGTCATGTTTCCACAGAAACAGTAAAAAATAAAATTCAGATACACTTTAGAATAGCAAAAGGCACATCTGTAGGTCATCATTAACCTGAGTGTTAAGCTTGGTGAACCTAGCGTGTAAACTCTAAGAGATATGCTCTGGACAAAGTTTCAGGACGGAAGCGGGGATATAAAAAAAAAGTTTTATCTCAGGCTACCAATTGCTGGAGACTACCTACACTGGTTTGTATGGGTCGTCCAGTTTGGTTGCTGGTGTTGATGAGAGTGGTGGTGGCGTAGGGGGCAACTGAGACAGGTACGGAGTTTGGTTTCTGGTAGAACGTCTTCATCTGGGGCATCATGCCGGCAGAGTTGTAGATGTTCTGGTCCTTCAGCTCCACATCCTTGTTGCCGGAGTCCAGCAGGGAAGCCAGGTCGGATTGAAGAACGCCATAGCCTGACAGGTTACTGTGCATGTTTCCATCTTTCTGCGCATACACCACATCTTCTCTGGACAAAACATTGCCACCTCTGGAAATATCAGCAAGTATATTTCTTTAAGAAACATACAAATGTCATTGAGATTGAAATGTGTCCTCATCAACATGATCCTCCTGAACAGAAGCGACAAAACCCTTCCACAAAAATATTAAATATGAGTCCATTTTACGATTCTGACTATAGTATACACAAGTGTTTATCACTATCAAACACCAGGTGTCCATGAAGCTAAAGTATTCTTTTGAGGATTTCTATGCAGATATTGCTTGTCTTGCACACCGACGTCAGTAAATCTTAAAAACAAATGGTAGAAGTATGGCCAGTAAACTATTGGACAATCAAGGCAATGAGAATGTAGTATCGAACATACCTGGCTGATTCATCTGACTTGTGAACAGGTACAGCTGGAAAAAGCAAAAAATGCCAGATCAAATTAATAACATTCTAAAATGCATTAAATTTATTTGATATAGAAAGTAGTCCAAAGGTAAAAAAGTGTTATTTTTAAGATAGTCTTATGGAAAATATTTTTAAAGAAAAGTGTCTAATGAACAAATTGATTTTCTGAGAAAATAGGCTTACAGAAAGCAGTCATATGGAAAATAGTTTTCATGTGAAATTGTCTTATGGGAAATAGCTTTTGTAAAAGAAAAAAGTCCTAAGGGAAATAGCATTTCATATTTGTGTGCAATTATCCCTCATTCAGTAATAAGTAACAAACTTGTCAAAACTTACCACTGTACATTCCATTCTGAGCCAACTTTTTCCTATTTTTACGTTTACGACACAGCCATACACTAAAGATGCAAAGTGCAAGCCACAATGTCCCTCCAATTGTGCTGATCAGCATTCCAATAAACCAGGGTTCTTTCATTATGTTCGGCTGCTCCGGTCCTGAAAACAAGACACAAAATTTAAAACCTGTTTAATGAGCAAATAATCTAATTACCTGTCCTATTCCATTTCATCAGAGCACTTACATATTTCAAATGCATCCACCTGAAGTGGACAAGTTTTGTTTTTAGGAATTCCGTAATGAATGTTCTCAGACTCAATGAAACGAAATAAGTCCATTCAAACTGCTAGACAGATAACATTACATTGACAAATGCCTTTGGTTTAAAGGGGAGAATGCTATAAATCTGATATCTACTCATGAGTAAACAAAATGTTAATCATCACTGCCAATCAGTTCTGCTAATGAGAATTTTACGTCTTAATCTAAAAAAAGTGTGCCTTAATTCAAAATTTGTAATTAAACTATCTGACCAGAACTAATTAACACAGAAAAATGCAATCTGGAAGAGAGAAGTTCATTTGTAGCATTAATAGGAATTCGCTAAAAGGATTACATTTTATGCTAAATGGATTAGAAAAAATTCAGTTATGATTAAGAGTGTGGAATTTGGTTGGTGGGGTGCCATGAGTTATATCAGAGTCACAAGTCAAACACATAACTCATCAGAAGAGAAAATGAAGAAAGCTAATGGTATGAATTAAAAGAGTCGAGTCACAGGTTCGTTACTCGCCCGAGCGATCAACTCTTCATTGGTTATTATGAAATTAAGAACAGCGTTAGGAAAACTGAACAATTATTGTCAGTCAAATTGTATCATTACGCCTGGCGAAATAAACACAAAGATTGGACATGTGAAGCGCAGCACACTCTAGACCCCGACCTCAATTAATTATCCCGGCCGCTTCACCTTCCTAAGGACATTTCCAAAAGACAACATTGTACTTTTTAACGGATGAGATGGCTTTAGTTAATTAAACCACTTAATGAGTTTCGGTCCTCCCACTGATGAAAACAAAGCAGTCAATCCGGGAACAATGGGGGCCGATTCGCCCAGTGAGCTATCGTAATCTCCGCTATTGTGGTGCTGTCAACCCCCCATGAAATATCCCCTTTGTCTCCAAGCCTGATCACCAACGACGACTGGCTTCGGAGAGCGTCCTTATGAAAATGAGGATGTAGCTGAAAAAACTGTCCAATAACAATGAGAAAGCATGTCAGCTAACTGTCTTACCTCTTGAAAGGATGTTGAAGACGGTGAAGTAATTTACTTGTGAACCTGAGCACACACTTCAACATCTAGTCTCCTTCCCTCACAGTGACAAAAGCTAAATTCTGTGACTCATTACTGTCACCCCCTTCCATCCATGCCCCCCAACCATCCTCTCCTCGCCACAAGGTTTGACCCAAACCCCCTCCCATAGGAATTGGATGTGTGAATTAATCCCCCACCATGTAAATTTTTCTTAGTGAAGAATGAGCCCAAACAAAGACAATTTCACGTGGAAATGCCTGGACAATAACACACAATATCACCACTGGTGGCATCCTCGTCATCAAATCCGAATTTGATGACATTCCTTTCCTTTCCTCAATAACAATTGTTTGATGAATTGTCGGAGAGGTGACACTGGAAGAATTCAATCTTAAACACATTACTGACTGGCCAGACACTCGTCTGTCATTTCGGCACGTGCAGTCTTTTGCAGGCACAGCAAGAAACTTAATTATCACAGATTAATGACACTAATTTGGTCATTCTAAAAATCAGCATTCTGATGAAGACATCAGCTTATTGGCCGAGATTCTAATTTTGGAAGGATGAATTGACTTTAAAATTCTTTTGTGACAGAATCGTATTTTGTTGCCTTTAACTCAAAACTAGAAATTAAAAAGATCTTTCAAGATCTCTCATTACACTGAACCATGATTTATTAAGTTTTTCAATCTTTCTTAAAACATGTATTGAGCTAGATTGCTCGCTGATTGAAACCTGATCAAATCTGACACATTTTTAAACGAAAAATGACCCTTATTCAGAGTGTCGTTATAAAGAAATGGAGCCAGTATAATCGGATTTCATCTGCACTAACAAAATCTGTCCATGGTTACACGTCAGATAATGACAAAGATTGTAAACAGAAATCACAAGTCCAAGGACATAGGTTCATACAATTCATACGGCAATTTCTTGTTTGCTTAACATCCATAAATGAAGCATCCATTGCCAGTCTAATGTCAGAGATTCAAACATGACTGTGTAAGATCATGACTCCCTGGCATCCTTTTGTAGCAATTACTGATCTTCACTGATAATACCATCAAACCATCTTATAAAATTGAAAAATCTCATCGAAATTTTCACCTTTTGCATTTTGGAAAAATGTCAGAAACATCGTAACTCTGAAACATGGAAGCCAGGCGATGAAGGCTTTCACTCCTCATCAGTAAAATCTGGGATGTGGAAATGGTAATGACCAACCCTGGACACCACGGCCTTAACTTCGTGATCACATCGCCACCTTCTTATCATAAAAAAGGCATTTCAAAGAACAGCAATGAGAATCCAATGTTTAAATCCCTCATTTCCAGGCTGAAAAGAGGGGAAGGTTCCAGTTAAGTGTCAGCTTTATGTTTCTAATACACCTCCAGACTAATTTATCGGCGCTGGCCAACAGCATGGAGTCTTGGTCTGCTCTATGATGACTCACGTTTTAAGATTTTAATTCTGTTTTATCTGCATGGAATTGTCTTGAATCTAATCATAAACAATCTCACAATCATAATCCCAACCCAGTAAGTCCAACAGTGTTGACGGCGACATTGAGATGACTCCAAATGGTTCATGATAAAGGAGTATTTACGAGGTTGCTGCTGTTATCTCAGGAATCTAATCATGCCATCGTTCAGCTCTACACTGTAGATGATTTAAAAACGTTTCACCCCATGCTGTCACATCCGTTTGTATGATTCGTGCAAGGAGTGTAAATATGGGTTAGGTTCATCTAAGGTGAAGATGGATGAAACAAACTGCCGTGAATTCAGTGGGAGAGATTTATTCTGAATTTTAATCAAGGAGGATTTCAGATTTCAAACAAAGTCACATCACCCACGTCAAGGAAGACCATTGCTGAGTCACCTTTGGAGATTTTAATTCCTTTTTATCTCCTTGCAATTGTCAATACCTTCATCGTAAACAAACACAAATCTGCAGCCGAAACCTTAAGACGAGAAGAGGAGAAGACGAGGAACAAGAGGCGAACTCAAAGAAGAACTGATTCCAATTCTGTGAAAATCTCATCCTCAAGTGTCTGGGACACAAGTTCTCGACAGATTTGGTCCTGTGCAGAAATCTCACTGATTTAAAGATTTCACAAGGAGGCACAAATACCAGAGGCTTTTCTCCCTCCAAGACAAAAGAGTTACTGACAGGGGCGGTTAATTCCCCTTCTCTCGTGTGACTCACTGCAAGTTCCCTCTACTCGTAACTGTCACTTCAGGAACAAAATGTGCATCAATTGTCTGAGTCACGATTATGCATTTCGCGACACTCAGAAAATTTGAAAGTCATCATCAGAGTGGTCCAATCTCCACGAAAGGGGAAAACGTGGACTTGAGTTTGTCATCAGCCATGGCTAGCAATTGAAAATGACAAGATTGAATGACACTGCCACAGACTTTCACCCAATTGTTTCTGCTCAATTTCACTCAGGTTTTGATTGAATGGTAAACTGTTGGAAATAACTCAACGATCAAACCATTTCTCCCAAAACATGTCACCCCAAACAGGAAGTTTTTCACAAAGGTCAGACTTCTAAACCCATATCTGAGTATAAGGTGAAACATTATGAGAGATTCAACTGTGGGGCTTTTGGTCAAGGTCATGAAACATTCACAGCAAAATGGCAAGCCGTATCTATGTGAATTTCAAGAAAAAATCTTTTCTTCACAGATAAAACAAAGTTGAATCAGCATATAGCTAAATGATGCTCTTCGTAACAACAGGATCAGTCATATGCCACTGTTAATTGTCCTGTCTGATGTGAGAAAATTACAATCAAGATGGGTATTATCCAAATTGAGTGGGTTTTTCCATGTGGGCCTGCTACAAGGGGCCCAGACAGGATTGCAGCCCATGGCCCCAGCTTTTAACGCATTAGAGGGGTTAGGCTCATGTTATTTTCATCCTACCATAAATCACAACAAACGATATTATAACAGTAATTGGCAGGACGCTTGCTGACATTTGGGCTCGTGGCTTGCTTAAGAAGCAGCATTACAGAGCTGAAGTTGAAAGGATATCTTCACTAATTAAGTCCCCTCCAATATTGTGCCATGGCCTTGATTTCTAAAAAGCCCAAATTATGGATTGCATTTTAAATGTTTCACTCATTTAGCAATTAGAGACTGTAGAAATGTCGTGCACAGCGGACTGCAAGGGCATGGATGGGGGATTGACATTTGACAATTTGAATAAGTCTGTGACCTCCACTATGGTCAGTTAAGTCAACAGTCGAAAAACACCACACAACTTGAAGACATTTTATGGTCCATGAGAGTAAATATATTTGATTTGTCTGTTCACTAATGCCACACTCTGCAACATGACAGCAGTCTGTAAATAGTCATGTCATGACAATCCAGTGATTGATGTCATGAGCATCAGTGTTAGCAACCTCGATATGACGACATGTATCAACCTAATCGGGGAGCTGGCCACCCAATCCCATTAGCTGCTTCTTACGACAAGGATTGGTGAAGACAAGTTTTAACCCAGATCTCAATGGTCATGAGCGTGAAAACAGTAATGTAACGCGAAGTACTTACCAACAACGAATGTTTTGCTCCACACACCCAGGCCCTTGCTGGTCTTGGCTGCTAGTCTTATCCTGTACGTTAGGTCGGCATCAATGTTTCTAACAAGGGCACTTGATGTCGTATCATTGGTCGACAGGCTACAGTTGTGTTTCCGGTCATTGTCCATGCAGTATATCTGAAACAAAAACACATCATTATGTTTATCTCACAATTCTGACAATTTTACATTTTCACCTGTACTGTGAATGCGTTCACTGTTCTGAACCCTCAGTCAGATCAGGAGAGAGTGGATAAATTGGGTTTTACACTGCTTTTAGCTATATTCACAGACTATCACTGCTTACAACATCAGGAAAGAGCTTCACACATTGTACCCATGTAGGGAATGTAAACCAGGCCTTGGGAGTAACAGCGAACGCTCAGACCACAAGGCTACCCCACTGACCCAGGTCAGGAGGGTGATGACAGGATGATTTATTTGTCTTTTAATATCTAGTGATAATGACTGCTAATTTGAATAGGGCTCAATATTCAGAGATACAACCAGGCCTGTGTCTAAGCAGGGTATCTATATTTAACTGCAGCACTGTATCTCAATGGGCTAGCACTGTAATAATATGAAGAAGACTGACTGACTGAGTTTGGTTTTACGCCGCTTTTAGCAATATTCCTGCAACATCATGGCGGGGACACCAGAAATGGGCTTCACACATTGTACCCATGTGGGGATTCGAACCCGGGTCTATGGCGTGACGAGCCAATGCTTTAACCACTAGGCTACCCCACCACCCCAATATGAAGAAGAGAAACATCAAAATGGTTAGGAGAGTAATATTGTTGGAGAGTTTTACACACACTGACATTTCTGAGCACTGAATGAAAAGAAATTTATACTTTCAAGGTTGTTCCTTTCGTAAAAATGTAAATTTAAGTGCCAAAGAAGAAAGCGCTGAGCATCTGATTGGCTCAAGGACAGCAGCCTATAACCAATCAAGACATGGACAGGCAAACTGAAGTGGCTGACAGCATGAGCATGGGAGAATGATGACATCCAATCAGCTGGGTCACACAGTATGATAATCTTATTCACATTAGTGAGAACTTATGAGAACCATGAGGGGCCCTGTACCAAGAAGTTTTCTTTCTGCTAAGACAATCATGAATCTATAGACAAATGCAGCAGTGGGATGACTGGGCCTAGAGATCTATTCTGATGCTGGCCCCATTCACAATACTCTGAGCCTAAGCTAAGACAATCATGAGTCTATGACACTTGCAGCAGTGGGATGACTGGGCCTAGAGATCTATTCTGATGCTGGCCCCATTCCACAATACCATCTTAAGATTGTACCCATGTGGGGAATCGAACCCGGGTCTATGGCGTGACGAGCCAATGCTTTAACCACTAGGCTACCCCACCACCCCAATATGAAGAAGAGAAACATCAAAATGGTTAGAGGACGTAGTAGATGTGGAAATATCCACTGGCATTTAGCAGCTACATTGACAGTGAGACCAACTTACATCATAGCCTTGGATATCTCCATTCCTCTTCGGCTTCGGAGGAGGAGACCATCGGATGTGGATCACAGTCTCCTGTTCCTTGTGGATGATGATGTTTTCTGGGGGAGCAGACGGCACTGAAATAAAAAGTATATTGGTAAAATCTCTCTCGTGGTCTGTCTCTCAGTACCTGAACCATGTTATTTTCCCTTCTGCCAAACCCCTACTGTAATATCTCAAAATGAAGCCAGTCTAGAATGTCTTTGCATTCTGAATATCCCATCCCATCGTTTCAATTAGAGTGAGTGAGTGAGACTTTAGTTTTACGCCGCTCTCAGCAATATTCCAGCTATATGGCAGTGGTCTGTAAATACTTGAGTCTGGACCAGACAACCCAGTGATCAACAACATGAGCATCGATCTGCGCAGTTTGGAACTGATGACATGTGTCAACCAAGTCAGCGAGCCTGACCACCCGATCCAGTTAGTCGCCTCTTACGACAAGCATGAGTTACTGAAGATCAATATTCTAACCTGGACCTTCACAGATACTTTTCAATTAGAAGGGAATTGTTTGTATCAAAATCATATATTATCAGTGACTAAGCTTAAAATATCTATGATAAAAGTGAGGATTGTATTCTATAACAAGCATTGTCACTAAGGTGACATAATCCCCCGCCGCAAATTATCAAATCAAACATAAAAAGTAATGAAAGTTTAAGATGAAGTTAAATGTCAACAAAAACATGACCAGTCAACCTCTCTTGATATCTTCTCTTTAGTTGTTCAGACACACAAATATTTTAAAGACTGACTTTGACCTTGAAATGAATGTCATAGTGTATGAAATATGCAAAAATGGTACTAAAGAAATTGCTTATTGAAAAACATTCAAGGGAAGTCTTGAAAGTCTATGAAGAAATTCCAGTGAATTCAGGTTAACATGCTGAAATCTTCAAAGTGTCTCTGTGACCTTGAAAATTAAGTGAAGATCACCAAAATCGACTGAGCCCTGCACCTTCCTTAGATAAAGCTTGGTGTTGAATATGAAGAAAATCCAGTTAATGGTTCTTAAGATAGCTTAACATGCAGGCTAACATACTGAAATCTTCAAAGTGTTGCTGTGACCTTGAAAATTAAGTGAAGATCACCAAATTGACTGGGCCCTGCACCTTCCTTAGATAAAGCTTGGTGTTGAATATGAAGAAAATCCAGTTAATGGTTCTTAAGATATGCTTAACATCCAGTTAATGGTTCTTAAGATAGCTAACATACTGAAATCTTCAAAGTGTTGCTGTGACCTTGAAAATTAAGTGAAGATCACCAAATTGACTGGGCCCTGCACCTTCCCTAGATAAAGCTTGGTGTTGAATATGAAGAAAATCTAGTGAGCAGTTCTTGAGATTTCTTGAGATATCTCGAAGATATTCTAATTCGTAAGTCCGGACGGACAGTGCCTAAATACTATATCCCCCGCTTCAGGCTAAACATGCGGCGGGGGATAATAATCAGATAGTTTTCTCCCTTTTGCTGACAACTACAACAAACTTCATGTTGTCATATAGATATTGAAGAAAACGAAATATTTTTCCATGGATATCATTTCTTAAAAAAGATAAAATACTTTATTTCGGTTAAACATATCAAAAGCGTTCTTGAAATCCACGAAAGCACAGCCGAGCCTGCCTTTTCTTTGAGTTACATGTATATGCTTTTGAACAATAGATTGAAGAATGAATATGTTATAAACTGTTGAATGTTTTCTCAACAAAGGTAATAATTCTCTTGTTTATGACAACTGTGAATAATTTACACAAAAAGTAAAACAACGATATGCCCAAATATTTACTAGGTTCATTATAACTTCCCTTCTTATATGTAGGTATCATAATAGCAGTAGTCCATGCAGCTGGGAAATGACCTTTACATAATATTTGTGAAAACAATAAAGCAAGATAGGGTGCAATGATATTATAATTAAATTTTCTTTTTTTTCTGTTGGAATAGTCGTCTCCTGGTGACTTATTCAGTTTAGCATCGTCTATTGCAGGTATAATTTCTGCTATTGTTATACCATAAGACAGTTCATCATTTACACAATCAGTACAACGCTCATAACTGTGTTCAGTAATATAGTTTCTAATATATGCATCAAACTCCTGGTCACAGTCAGCATGTGATACAGGATTTAATAAATCTTTAAAACACGTATGCCATGTTTCTGGTAAAATATCATTCTTATCAGGTCACCAAGATGAACATTTCTTTACAACTTTCCAAAAACCCTTTACAATCATTATTGATGGCTGCTTCAGTAATGGTTTTGCTTATGTTTTCTTTGTAATATTTTTGTTTCTTATCACACATATCAGCAGATTTGTACAGACCCATAAACTTTGGAAATCTAGACAAGCCACCTATAGTTTGGCATGAAATGCATGTGGACCCGTCTTTTTGTAAATATCCCTTCATCCAATGATCCAATGGATCTCAAACTGTGCAAGTGGATGTTTTGTCAGACAACCTAATCACATTGTAAATCACCGATTTTATGCATTTGTATTAAAGAATCTGTCTATGTAACTGTCAACAAAATAAACAGCAGAACGCAGACTGCTTGCAGAGGGAGGGAGCCAATGACCTGTAACAGCGGCAGTGTTGGGTCATAAAGGTAAATGCACGTGCAGTTCATGATAGTTACCTGTGCACTGCACAGTGATAGACCGTTTGGATCATTCACATTGACCACTTCTAGCTGTCATCATGAAAGCTTATTCAGATGATGCTAAACGTTTATTAGAAATGTGTTTAATTTTTTTTTAAAAGAGAGCAAACGTAGCAAACCGATTTATAAGGTGTCGGATTACATGAAAAGTACAACTTTTGCTCTTGGCATGAAAAAGAACATCGTGCTAAAAATTGTGAAAAATAAACCAACAACCAAGAAAAACAAGAAGACAAAGTCATCAATATCCCCCGCAATGGCAAAATACTCTTCATGATTATGTCTACGAGGTATGATTATGTCAAATATTTAGGTGTGTATATAGAAAAGTGGAAGGAGAGTATTGAAAGGTTTTCAAAGTTCTGCTCCAGAAAGGAGCACTATCACCAATTTCAGTCAAAGTCAAACTTGCTGCCATGGAAATGCCAAAAATATTTTATCCAGAATTCCAAAACTACCAAAAGGCACAAGTACACCACCAGATCTATCTATGTGCCAAGTTTGGTGAAGAAATAGAGAACAGTTTTAGAGTTCAGCTCCGGAAAAGAGCACTACCACCAATTTCAGTCTAAGTCAAACTTGTTGCCATGGAAACGTCAAAAATATTTTATTCAGAATTCCAAAACTACCAAAAGGCACAAGTACACCACCAGATCTATCTATGTGCCAAGTTTGGTGAAGAAATAGAGAACAGTTTTAGAGTTCAGCTCCGGAAAAGAGCACTACCACAATTTCAGGCTAAGTCAAACTTGTTGCCATGGAAACGCCAAAAATATTTTATTCAGAATTCCAAAACTACCAAAAGGCACAAGTACACCACCAGATCTATCTATGTGCCAAGTTTGGTGAAGAAATATTGAACAGTTTTAGAGTTCTGCTCCGGAAAAGAGCAGTACCACCAATTTCAGTCAAAGTCAAACTTGTTGCCATGGAAATGCCAAAAATATTTTATTCAGAATTCCAAAACTACCAAAAGGCACCAGTACACCACCAGATCTATCTATGTGGCAAGTTTGGTGATGAAATAGTGACTGGTTTTAGAGTTCTACTCCGGAAAAGAGCACTACCACAATTTCAGTCAAAGTCGAACTTGTTGCCATGGAAACGCCAAAAATATTTAATTCAGAATTCTAAAACTAGCAAAAGGCACCAGTACACCACCAGATCCATGTATGTGCCAAGTTTGGTGAAGAAATATCGAACGGTTTTAGAGTTCTGCTCCGGAAAAGACAAATGTGCACGGACGGACGGACGCGTTGCGGGGGATAATTATTCTCATCCTGTATTTACAAGCTGTTAGAAAGTGTTTAAGAAAAATTCTGTTCATCAGAAAGACATCTCACCTATATACTGAACACGAAGTTATCATAAATATTTTTAGGACATTTATAAGAAACCATGTGCTCAGTCTCCACTGCAAAAAGCATATCTAAAAATACATAAAATCCCTGATTTCTTTGTTCGGTATACCTGTGTGGTGCCGTAATCTTGATTCATTTATCAAAAGAGCCCAACATCAGTTAGCATTACCTGATTCCTTTGTCGGCACTTTAACAGGACTGCTACACTGGGATTTGACTTCACCGCCATAAGCCTTGATGCAGATCTCATACCAGGCATAGCTGTGGAGGTTGTACAGCATGTAGGAGGTGCTGTATGGGTCCAGGACCTTCTTGGTTATAACTGTCCCGTAGGTCATTCGCCGAAGATCCGTGATCTTCTTATATTCAATGATGAAGCCACCAATCGCATCTCTCCCTTTCAAAACCTGGAAAGTCATAAATACATAGCATCAACGTTAACACTTAGATTATTGTGAACATGACCAGTTTCAATCCATTACCTACTGTGTGGCTTGTTCAACATACCATTGCTCGCTGTTTAGATGTAACTGTCAGCAAAATTGAAACACTCATAAAATGAAAAATCTTGTAATGGCCAGATTATAAGAAAGTGTGATTTAGAGCTATCACCCTTGATAACACGTTATAGTTGGGATTGCACTTCTCGGTAAAGTACAGATTCTAGTACTTTTGTTGGGTTGAGTCCCATCCGGGATTCGAACCAACACTCTCAGAGTCAGTCACCTAATTGCCAACACACAAAGTCAGCCATCTAAGTCGTTCAACTATGCCAACTTCAACAAAAATGGAAGTCGGACAACTGGTAGTCTGGACCACAGACTTTGTGTACCCCTCTGATAAGTGTAAATTGGTATGGTTCCTATATGTCCGAAAGCTATGAACAATGACATTTAGAAAGTGGTCAAATGTAATACACATTGACAAATCACACATAACACGCTTGACCATTTCAGAAGTTGGTGTGGAAATTTGACAGTCTGGTGTGTCATTGATTGCTGCTGCCCCTATCTGATCGACTGAGTTGTCTGTTGTGTTTGTAAACATAAAACTGGGCGTGTCATCATTTACTGATTTCACAATTACATTCTGTATGAACCAATTTCTTGGGTAAAGATTTGTTTCAATTTGGAAAACACCTCCTAACATGGTAGGATGAAACATGCTGCATAAATATGTTCACAATGAAGTTTGTACCAGTCTGACAATCACACCGGTTTTATTGTGCTAACACATTACGAGTAATTACAATGTGGCTAGCAGGTCTCCATGACTTGTTGAAGAATTTTAAACCAAAAACAGTCCAAGCTATTTGAAATACCAACCCTCCACGTGACCTTGATGACGGTGGCGTTAATGGCCTCCCCTTTCATGATCTCCACAACCATTCCATCCAGCTTCTCCCTGATCACAGACTTGGGCAAATTGATCTTCTTATTAGGTTTTCTTCGCTCTGAAATAAAACACAATCCATGTGGTTGTATTCACAAGGTTTTTATCCTTTATTGAATGAAAAATGCAACCACATTCTTTCAAGACAAACCATGCAGCACTGATAATGATATATACATATATCTTACAGCTATTCATCAACATTTTGGAACAGAATTTTCACTGGTCACAAATCAGATGAAATCAGCAACGAAACTTGTTGTCTGTATATACATGTCTTGTATTTATTCATTCATTCGGTACAGAATTTTCATAGGTCACAAGTTAAGTTACCTAGTTACCTAGAGAGTATGTGAATTACCTAGGGATTAGGTCCAACCCAATGATGAAATACATACAACAGATCTAGTGTAACTTTATTTGAAATATGTTCATGTCCACTAAGCAGTGAGTGGGTACCCGGTAGTTTGAAGGTGATAGAATGAAAATTGATCACACACTGATCACTTGACCTGGGTAAATGAAATGTGATGCTGTATAAATTAGCAGTGTGATTATGACAAACATTACCTCTTGTGACAACTGGATCGGATACCTCACTGGGTTGGCTGATTCCATGAGAGTTTTCAGCTCGCACAAGGAACACGTAATGTGTCTCCGGTTCAAGGCCATGGACGGTGAAACTCTCGTGGGTGATAGAATTGGAGGCCACAACCCATCCCTGAAACAAATTGTTTACATCAGAGCTCAATCATACACGAAGCTGATGATCATATAATACTGATTAACAGATGGTTAGCATATGCTGCCTACAGGGGTACCTATATGGACGTCAGTTGGAGATGTCAGTTAAGAACGTTCGCCTCTCTTCTCTCCCACATTCTAGCATTAGCAGCCTTTGCATGTTAGAAGGCAACTAAATGGATACACTCATATTCCCACTGGATACAATGGTGCTCATGACATCACTCATTGGATAATTTACAGAGCAGCATGATATATCTGGATAAATGCTGATTATCGAAAACAAACTATCAATAGAGTCACCCACACGTTTAGAGAATAAATAATGGTGTTTCCAAATTTGAGATTTTATATAAACAATAATCAGAGCAGTTCCTGGTGCCATTTTTCCCTTGTCATGGGAGAAATCATGCGTCTTTACCTGTTCTGTCTCATGGCTGAAATACTCCACAATGAAAGCAAAGGTTGGTGAATCTCCTTTCTTCTTGGTGTTGGGCTGCCACGTTAGGTGAACACTTGTGTCGGTCACATCTGTTGCCACGGGCTTCAGAGGTCTCCCTGGAAATCTGAGATTTCTGTGTCCGCCTGTAGGGACCTCGGCCTTCAACGTAACATGCATATATTGATGTAAAATTGTTTAAATCACACGTCAGGATCAGGGGAGATAATTCAGTAACCAGATTACGCATACCACTAGGAATAGCTATGACTTAGTGTTTAAATTGTCATTTCATTTTCTGTATGTATCTGTGTAACCACAGGAATAAACACTACCATAATCCAGAGGGAATGTTTACGTTATAATTTACTGTATTTATGGACTGAGAACACGAAACACTGAAGTTTTTGGCAACAACTCTTGACATAAAAGTTGATCATGAGGATCGGGTGGTCAGGTCATTTATGGCATTGCATGTCATGGTGTCCAAATGCTCATGATGTCAGTCACTGGATTGTAAGGTCCAGACTTGATTATCTACAGACATGCCTTATATCTGCAATACATGTCAAAAAAACTTTTTACTGGTAACAAATACTGACAATAGGGTCCACAACATGTCTCAACTGAAGATTATATCATCTGTATGTTTTACATAGATTCCTACATACCAGTAATTTTAAGGTAAGCACTCCAAGCGGTCTCTCCTGTCTCGCTGACAGCTTTACATGTATACATGTCAGAGTCGCTGGCCCGTACATCTGAAATGTCAAGTATGGTCATTAATAGATCACACAAATGTAACAAATACACTTTGGGGATTTGGATTTTCTTGGATTTCAATTTAAACAATCATCTAAAATCTGTTACTTGATAAATGATACATCAAATGTTACAAAATATTACTTGAACAGCAATCAAAAAGTTAGACTAATATTTGGTCCCAGAAAAAAGTCTCTTATTCAAAAATATATATTCACATTTCAAAGAATATAACCAGAATGGGTTCTAAACAATAAATAATGTCTAATTACAGGTATGAGCCAATCTAGACTTTCCCAACAATTCATGAATTTTGGGATTTTTATTTTGTTGAATTTCAATTTAGAATAATAATCTAAAATCTTGGAGACAAACTGAGAAAGCGAACTTTCGGTCTGTAAGTGACAACAATTCGACAAACTTTCAATAAGAAGCTTTTAGTCTGTGACTGGCAAATTGGTTTGATTCCAGCCTTTTGTATTCAAAACATTCACATAATATCTTGCAAAAACTGTGCATTAATGATTTTATAAATATTTTGATGTGATTTTGGTAAATAGTAGCATATTTTTTAATGTTTTACCTGATATTTGCAGAGTTCCGAGTCCAGAATCACCTGACGTGGATTGGTGCCGAGGATTGGTCGGTCTTTCTTATACCACCTGATGGTTGGCTGGGGGTTCCCAGTAGCTTGGCATGGCAGCATTGCCATTTCGTCCGGCGGAAGTGTCTGATTCTGGGGACCCAGCTTGATGATTGGTGGAGGTCGGGAGTCTTGTTCTGGAATTATGGGAATGCCTGCATTAACTGAAAGTGAGGCTCGGAGAGGTCAGAGGTCATCACAAAGGTGAGGTGAGGTGAAATTGGGTTTAACGTCGTGCTTGAGAATATTTCGCTCATATGACGACGTGCATGCATGTGTATGTGTATGTGCGGCTGCTTGTACTAGCCCAGACTGAAGCTGGTTTTATAGTGCTAGCCCACTGAGATACCATGCCGCAGTGAAGCATGAATACCCCACTCAGACATATTATACTGACTCCGAGCCAACCAGTCCTTGTTGTACCCATTAATGCCGAGCGCCAGACAGGGACCAACAAGTACCATATTTTAACGTCTTTTGGTATGACACGGTCGGGGATCGAACCCGCGACCTTCCGCTCTCCGGGCAAACGCTCTAACCACTACACCACGGAGGCGGTCGTCATACACAAAGAGCTGATGTCGGAGTACTGTGTGGACATGAAATAACATTGTAACAATCACTTTCAAACCAAATGCACATGAAGACGAGGACCTAACTGCAAGCTGTCTTAGCATTGCATATGACACAACAAAAACAAGTCTTATCCTAAACAAACAAACCCTAATAATTCCATTTGATGGTAACAAATTTCTCAGAGGCCAATAAAATAGATACAAAAAACATCAACACGTTTATGTTCAAAACATGTGGGGTTAAAACATATTACAAATTTCAATTTCAAATATACCTTTTAATTCCTCTCACAATTCATATGCCATAATTTGTTGCATTTAAAACAAATTTCAAGAGGCTTTAATTATGAATCAGCAGAGTTGTAGACAAAGTTTAAAAACTCTGACCCAGACACACGTCTATGTTGCTGTCATGGCAGGCATGCATGTTAAAATCATATCAGACTTCTGTCTGAAACACTCCAGGAACACATTGTTATGCTGACAATAAATAAATAGTTTCAGCTGCTGCCGAACATGAGCCAAGACTCATTTCTCAGTCACCCCAGAGAATGTGCAGGATATATGAATGCAAAAGAAGATACAACAAAAAGAGATAACCTGAGATGAGAATATCACCCTACAGTAATTAGGCCAAAGGCAAAAAGCTTGCAGCTCATGGGAAATCTGTCTTTGTGTCATTGTAGATTCTCTCTCGGTGAAGGGGTAGCCTAGTGGTTAAAACGTTCACTCATCAAGCCGAAGACCCGGGTTCGATTTCCCACATGGGTATAATATGTGAAGCCCATTTCTGGTGTCCCCCGTCATGATATTGCTGGAATATTGCTAAAAGCACTCACTCACTCGCTGAAGTTATGGTGTCCAGCCATTTATTGTACAAATATCAGGAGAGCATCTGCTGTGTGTTTGACATGTGTTTGACGTGTGTTTGACGTGTGTTTGATGTAGTATGTGTCATTTTGTGTGTGTTTGACTGTTACTGTACTGTTCCATATACAATCATGCACTGTTGTGGCAAACTTTGATACACTGAACTTATAGTTGTTCCCCTTTAATACCCAAGTATGAATTATTTTTCAGTTGTGGTGAACCTTGGATAACTTACTGTCTATATGTAGGGAACTTTGACACGATGGCGATCTACACAGCCTAACATTCGCATTGTTTTCATTGTGGCTGTCTGGATCAGAGAAGGTCCGTTGTGCTTTATGCTATTCAGGAGTAGCGGGGTAGGCTGGTAGTTCAAGGTTTTGCTTGGCATGCTGACGTAAAGGTTTGAATCCCTGCATGGGTAAATGTGTGCACCCCATTTCTGGTGTCCCACGCCACGATATTGCTGGAACATTGCTAACAGTGGCTTAGAGCCATCCTCACTCACTCACTCACTCACTCACTCATGCTATTCATAATAAGGATCTATTCCGGGGTAATGTTGACAAACACAACTCGACATAAACAAACCTGTGGTTCTGATGAGCTACAGCTCAACAACTGAACAGAATACTGCATAATTCGATAATTCAGCATATTGACAATAACTTGCAAAGAAATGAAAAGCAAAGCACACACTGAGAAGCAAAAATAAACACTGAGAATGTCACAGACTCCATATTATTACCCAAAAAAAATGAAATGGAGAAAACTAAACCAGAGGCATTATTCCTTATAACCTTTTCCAAACTGTGGCAGTGTGAAAAATGGCGAGTGGATGTTTATATATGAGTGCACAAAGTATATTTGGTCAAAACTTGCCATTAGAATACGTTCTTTCTGAAACACAAACAATACGTCATGAAACTGGCAATGTGGATCTCAGGATATAGATGTCAAAACTCCTAGCTTCATCAGTTCAACAGAGAATTACTACTTGTACTTACGTCTAACATCAATCCGAGCCGTAGCTTTGGCGCTACCGATGACATTCAAAGCCTGACACACGTATTCTCCTTCATCTTCAAACTGCACGCGCTCAATTCTAAATGTTCCATCTTCTGCCACAGAAAATCTGCCGCTTTCTTGGTTCGGGAACATCAAAGGCTAAAACAGGTGTAACGACATCACTTAGTTGGGAATTTCAAACGTTTTCTAGTATTTCTAAGTCATGATTTCACAGCATATTTGCAGCTTATTAACCAAGTGTAATCATTGTCATATCGGGCATATAAATGTAGTAATGAGACTCTGTGGCAAACAGCTATTGTGTGATACCAACCAAGGGAAAGTTTGAATGTAATCACCTGTTCCGATCCTTTGCTCCAGAAGACAGTTGGTGATGGGTTGCCAGTGACAACACACTGCAGTGTTATTGTGCGACCGAGGCCCACCACTTGGTCCAGAGGTTTGATCAGGAAGGAGGGATCCGCTGCAATAAAACGTCAGTTTTGTGAAATACAGTTTAAACGATTTGTGAAGTAAGTTTTGGCTCTTCTTGATGAAGATCTGGTCTGAATAGCCCGAAATCCATGTTTAAATCCTTGTTGTCTAAGTGGACTAGCATGAGAAACGGACATTACCACAAAGGATATTTGGCAGTATGGTTGTTGGTTGGATTGTTGTTTAGGGGGATAGAAAGAGTGAAGGAGTTTGGTTTTCGCCGCTTTTAGCAATACTCCAGCAATATCACAGCGAAAAGAAAGAGAAAGGAAATTATGATTTTAAAAAGGGGGTGTCAACCATTTTGTTCTCGGGAGGTAGGGGGGTCATCAATTTTGTACACGAAAATATTATGCAATAAATGTCATGTGTAACATACGGTTATTGAGGGGGGTCATTGATTTTGTACATGACATGCAGGGGGGTCACTTACTTTATACATCAATTTTAGGGGGTCATTCACATTGTACATGCTTCTTAATAAAATCTTCATCACCCCCCCCCTAGCCATAAATTATGAACGGTTCCTAAGTGCTAAGTTCCTAACGGTTCCATGGTGTAAATGCTATGACCTTCAAAGTGATGTTAAACCACATCACATCTTGATGGAAACAACAACTTACTCTGGATGGAGAGTCTGCCCACTGCTTCCACCGTTCCAGCCAGGTTCTCCGCCACACAGATGTACTGGCCGTCATCCTCAGCTTGTACCATCTCTATCCGCAGAGTGCCGTCGTTCAGCTGCCGTGCTCTGAAACAACACACCAAGTTACTCCCTTCTCCTGACTGGATCTTGCAAACAAAGTACTAGGTTGACAGGACAACAACTGAAAAATCAGTTCAAACCTTTTCCTGAATACTACAAGATTTACCAGTTATGGAATGTAATATTTTACAGCAGCTTCATCTTCTGTAGTCTACATATCAGTTGCCTCCCTTAGACAAGCTCAAGCAACAAGTTTAAACAAATCTGTTTCCACACAAAACTAATCAATACTGATAATGATCTTGTTGGGGCCAGCATTACATGATATATGCAGGAAACATGGGAATCTTCTTTTTGTAAAAAACATGTTTTCAGAATAAAACTGCCAAAATGCTGCATTAGTCTTTACCTCCCATAGGGTATTCGGCCATCCTGCTTTTTCCATGTGACAGTCGGTTCAGGATCACCTACAGCCTGGCACTTTAGTTCAACGGTATCACCTTCCTTTGCTTGGATATCATCCGGGAGCTGACGAATCTTAGGTTTTTCTGAAAATAAAAAATAGAAACATGACTACCAAACACAATTACCACACAAGCATAAACTAGCATGTACATCATTTGTGAAAGATACACATTTTCAAATTTTGTTAAAAGTTAATTCAAATATTTAAATGTTAACTATGCCACACTATAATTCTCCACCATATTCTAAATCCTAGTATGTTTACATCAGTCATAGTCGGGGTTGTGTCGAGTTGTTGGATTGGTGGCCATGTTGGGAGCTCAACTACGCGAGTTTCCCCTGACCCAGGCCCACAATCAAGAACAAGTACCATAAGGTGTCTCCTTAGCATAGGACGATATATGCCTCTGTTCACCCTGCAGTATATGGGTACCCGGAAGGATGAGATTGTTGTATACTCCATGGGGAGTTGGGAATGAAAATTGTGTGCACACTGATTCCTTGCGTGGTAATAATGTAGGGTGCTTGGCACATGAACTTACCCAATACAGTGAGTCTTGCACGCGGACTGAGTTTCTCGCCTCCCTTGTTTAAAGCCAGACATGTGTATTCGCCACCGTCTGTCACCTGGACATTCTCAATTACTAGGTCACCATTGTTATTCATAGATATTCGTCCATCTATCGTCAAAGGGTCTTCATTTTTTCGCCACAGAACCTTCGGTTCCGGCTCCCCTTCGAGGTTTGCAGTGGAATGTTGCAGTCTCCCCTGTAGCCACAGTCGCAGAAGACGGTACCTCTCGAAACTCATCTCGTAAAACTGAAACGATAAATGCAGCAGATTGCCATCAAGGTGTACGACATGCATTTGAAAATGTGATAAAGAGTGTGATAAAATGTGATAAAGAGTGTGATAAAATGTGACAAAGAGTCTGATAAAATGTGACAAAGAGTTTGATAAAATGTGACAAAGAGTTTGATAAAATGTGACAAAGAGTTTGATAAAATGTGACAAAGAGTTTGATAAAATGTGACAGAGTTTGATAAAATGTGACAAATAGTGTGATAAAATGTGACAAAGAGTTTGATAAAATGTGACAAAGAGTTTGATAAAATGTGATAAAGAGTGTGATAAAATGTGACAAAGAGTTTGATAAAATGTGATAAAGAGTGTGATAAAATGAAAGAGTATGATAAAATGTGATAAAGAGTGATAAAATGTGATGTGGATGAGTACAAGTAATTGTATTATTATCATTATTATTATTTCATATTAATGTCTGGGTATAATTAAGTGTGAAATTCCAACAAAAGAGTCTCACTTAATATTAAGCCCCTTTCAGCATTAGGACAAAACAGATAACTTGCAAGTGATCCTGTGGCAATTTTAAGTCATGCCCACTTATTAACTACAGTTCCCTGATTTGGTATTAACAGAATGGGCATCGCCGAATGTTTGTATTGTTGTCATCAGGGATTTTGTGTTATACATGATGTATTTAATCATAAAAATTCACTTACTTTTACTTCTTGAGTTATGGACAGTTGATATAATCACATCACATATCGTGCTTGTTTAGATTCAAACCAAGGTTCTCTGCCCCACTTCCAACCAAATAAAAGTAAACAAATTCTATGGAAATTTATTTATTATTGAACAAGTCATTTATTCAACCATGTCAGCATAACTGACATTATTACCTTAAAAAGGATAGATAAATTCATTATTGCTAATAAATAATTACTTTTAATTATCCCAAGCCTTTTCTTGAAGACATAGACACAGTGAGATATATCTGTATACATTGTGGACTAGTTGTCAAAATCCAAGACATCAGTGTCCAGTATGTTCTTATGAACCTACTTCCCACAGTGACCTGTTTAAACAGTTCAAATGTCATAGGATCAAGATTCCTTTTTCAGACCGCCATTTGGACATAGCTTCATAAATGGGCCTCAATAACTCTCATATTACTTTTGTTAAATGATGCATCTATTTCATTTTTTCCCATTTCATCTACTTTCACTTTCAATCTATTTTTCCCTTTAGAAAGTCAATATTTAGAGTGTCAGAAAGCAGCACTTGACAAATCTGTTAACTAAGTACACCCTGTCAGACATGTTTCTTGAAGTCTCACTGAAGTTTCATTGAAATTCACAATTAAATAAAATAAAAAATAATGTCTGATATGAATGTTTTATGTTTAATTTGCAGTAGAATTAATTTTTGAAATAACAGTTGAAATGTGACTGTGACCAAATCCTCAAACGCTACCAGAGCGTCTCAGTAGACTGATCAAGATTCCGCGTAAACACAAAAGGAAAGATTCTTGAGAATTCAAAATATAAACGGCGCCACGAGAACCTTCGTGCAAAATATATGTATAGATTCCATTATCAGGACTGTTTCTGAGTTCTGCTGTGGCAACAGAAAGCTGCACATGAAGAAATGTAATATGTATGCATAATTTACATCACTTGGCCACAGAAGCAAAATAACATCAAGATCTGTTAGTTTAAACAGTTTACATGTCAGTCTTTCCTGAACATGCTTCAAATCCAATTATTTGATCCAACTACAAGGAAGCAGCGATGTCATATAAAACAATCACATATCAAGTTTCTTCCAACATGTCTGGTACTGGAAGGTAAATGGACAACACATGTGTAGCTGCCTTAGTCCCTGCTTTGTAGAAGCTGAACAGTTCAGCTGTTTGCAAGTGACTGAAGTCCCCTCTGTTCTCCCTAACATGTTCTGTCAACACTTCTATCCAGGAAGCAGACATTTTGTGTTTCAATAAACCCTACATGATTTCATTTTGGAAACTGTTTTGACAGTTTTCGTAAAGCAACTGTATATTTTGCAAATCAACAATCAAATGTCAGCTGAATATAGAACTTGTATTCATGGATAAAACCAGTGAAGATCGGGGTCAGGGTCTGTCTTCAGTTATCCATGCTTGTCGTTTGAAGCGATTAATAGGATCAGGTGGTCAGACTTGCTGACTTGGTCCACGCAGGTCATCTTATCTCATATACCAGGATCAATACTCATCAATCATCGGATTGTCTGGTCCAGACTTGTTTACATACTGCTATTGTATTGCTTCAATATTCTAGAGAGTGGCATTAAACAACAAACGCACAACCAAAATGGATAAGGATTTCAATCAAACCCATTTCACTTCTTTTCCAAGAAACCCCCATTATGTACGTACATTTTGGAAGAATTACAACACAATGCTATTACTTTCTCCATCATAATGTCAAATACTTGGGGTTCATTATCAGTTCGTTCCAAGACGAAAAGGCTTCTATTTGACAATCTGGTTTTCATTAAGGAGGAACATTCTGTGAGTGTAACATTTGCAAGAATTGACCTTGTTCCATACAAGTCCTTACAATGCATTATCAAGTTTATTTTCCCCTGTTGCAAATCATTACACGGCCACTGATCCCCCTGTTGCCATTTCCACCGACGTTGTTGTCCGACGCCGACGCAGCGGTTCCATCACGGCACACATTTGGTAGATGAGCATTGTGAACTCCAACTTTTCAGACTTGTTTGCCACGTGATTGCCAGGAAATGGCTTCAGGTGTTTGATATAAACAACACACACAATTACAATGTTCTCTTGGTTAGGTATCTCGCAACAACAATAATGTGTACGTATTCTGTTCAAGGGTTGTTTGCCAAACAGCTTACTTAGATCTTTAGGGTGGAGCAAACTCTCCACAAGTGCATTAATGAATAAAACACTTCGACTGACACACAATATCAGCTCCCCAGGGGATGATGCGGCAGTAACAACTTAAACTGCATCTTCCTTACACCTTCCTGAACCAACACAAGGTTACTGATGGTAATATAGTCAGTGGTGTTTATTACATAATGAGAAGTCATTTCCAACCTGTTGCTGAATCTTGTTTTACTCTAGACGTGAATGGACTGCTACCAACCATCATTACAATAACAATCAAGAAGTTTCATCTTAACTTTTACCTCCTCATCTCCATTTAAAACTCTAAGTGCTACATTTAAAGCTACATCACCACTGTCAAGCGATTTTGTGAAAAAGGAGTCTGCACTGAATGTCTGATGTATCTTACTAAGTTTAAAGTTTGGTTAACATTTTACAGAGCCAAGAATATTTAGATGTATTCACCATGTGTTACATAACAAACAGTGACACACACGAATAGTGCATTAAAGGAGTCCGTCTACCTATACCATCACCATTAATAGTGCATTAAAGGAGTACGTCTACCATTGCATAAATCAAATATAAATAGTAGAAATAAAATTGAATTTCTGATGCTGTTGCAAAAGCTATTAACTCTTGCCTTTTATAAATGTTCTTTCTGTAACACATTTCATAGATCTTATATCATAACTAGCTTTCAAATTACTGTTAGACTTGGAGACATGGAAATAGTATATTTTTTCTGCTGAATGTATGCATACTTGTGTGTTAAAGAGTGTGAATGCCACCTAATATGAAGTAATTTTTACAGAGTTTTTGCCTGTTGGGTGTGGAGAGTCCTTGGATGGGTGACCATGTTTGGCAGCTTGACTCCTGAGAGTTTCTAGGACTTCAGTCCTGCCCCATAATGAAGCACATGTGATACATGTGGTCTCACCATAGGCAAATGACTTTGTTCAAAATTGCCTCCGTTCACTCAGCAGAAAATGGGTACCCGGTGGGATAAGTCATGTGACTAGTAACCTTCTAGAGCCTCACTGGCAGCTTGGGTTATCCAGCGTAATAATAATCAGATTGTGCGCTTTGAGCATGCTTATCTATGGAAATAGCGCCATAGAAATGTACTAGTATTATCACTGAGATAATTATTCCTTGCGGTAGACGTTCAATATTTGCTTACCTGCTATTTCTAGTGTTGCATTTCGACTGATAGCACTTCCATGAATATTAGTTGCATTGCAGTAGTACACTCCAACATCTGGCTTGTAATTCTTGTTGTGAATCACACGAAGGAAGAAAAGCTGTCCATTATTCAACAACATTCGATGGGAGGAGGGGTTTTCAGGGGAGGTAACTACTCGTCTTCCATTCCTATACCATGTAATTTTGGGTGGTGGGTTGCCTTCGGCCTTGCAGTTGAGTGTTGCTGGTTCGTTCTTTGCAACGTAGTCATCGTCGGGATGTTCCACTATCCTGGGATTACTCTGGTCACCTGAAACACCAGAGTTGAACATAGTTACTTTCCTCGACATGACAACAGAGTACTACTTGAAATAGGGAATGTGACGCAATCTAGACAACAAAACAAACACCTCCCATTTGTGACAAGATATTTTTCATCACATATGCAGGTTTCTTAGCATTTGATGCTCATGATGTCAATCACTAGTCCTGCCTAAAATTGATCGTTTTAGTGAGTGAGTGAGTGAGTGAGTTTAGTTTTACGCCACACTCAACAATATTCCCGCTATATGGCGGCGGTCTATAAATAATCGAGTCTGGACCAGACAATCCAATGATCAACAGCATGAGCATCGATTTGCTTGATCGTTTTAAGACTGCATTCATGTAGCTGGCATTTTGCCGAGTGCTAAGTTAAACAAACAAGGGAGAACATACGACAAGTCAGATCTAAAGCTTTAATTTCAATTGTCTTCTTGAATTCAAGCATATATCATTATTTAGACATCTCTCTGTATAAAACAACAAACAGCTAATGAACCTATCCACAAAAACAGACTTTGTCCATTGCTGAAATGCATTGAAATAGTTGAAACACTCATGTTATACATCCAGGAATGTTTCCATATAAATCATTTGACACGCAAGTGTGTTCTTTAGCAAGGCTGTGAGATTATTCCTGCAGCAAGTGTGAAGGACGTAGTTGCTATTCGGTGGAGCAGTCTGTTGGTCTGGTTTCCTTAGCAGTCTCACACTTGATGATAGCTACACTAACCTTTCCCCGTTTTTGCTTTTTTTACCCAGAATACATTGCCACCAGAGTTGCATGGATGCTAAACCAATACGTTTCATCATCATCATCATCATCATCATCATCAATAGATATAACTGTTGAAGGTTAGTTCGTGCGAGGTGTAGTTTAACTCCTCCTGTGGTATATGCTAGAGAAACACTGTTTGGGCATAATGAGTGGAAAGTACTTGAGCAGTTTTGAATGTTTTGACAACGGAAACAATGTGAATTAGAAATAAAAATTGTGCTACGAGGTCACTTTGTTGCAAATAGAATCTGAATAAAACGAACAAATGTATACATCTTTGCTTTGTTCAAGCAGGTCTAGCTACAAACATTAAGTCGGTGAAGCTACAAACGTTTAGTTGGTGAAGCTACAAACATTAAGTCGGTGAAGCTACAAACATTAACCCAGATAGCATTCAGACGTTGGCCCAACGTTGGCAATGGTTTTGGCAAAGTAGGTGAAGCTACAAACGTTTAGTCGGTGAAGCTACAAACGTTTAGTTGGTGAAGCTACAAACATTAAGTAGGTGAAGCTACAAGGTGAAGCTACAAACGTTAAGTCGGTGAAGCTCCAAACGTTAAGTCGGTAGCAATATTCCAGCAACATCACGGCGGGGGACACCAGAAATGGGCTTCACACATTGTACCCATGTGGGGAATCGAACCTGGGTCTTCAGCATGACGAGCGAACGCTTTAACCACTAGACTACCTCACCGCCCCCGTTAAGTCAGTGAATCTACTAATGTTAAGTCGGTGACGCTACGAACGTTTAGTTGGTATAGCTACAAACATTAAGTCGGTGAAGCTACAAACATTAAGTCGGTGAAGCTACAAACATTAAGTCGGTGAAGCTACAAACATTAACAAACATTAAGTCGGTGAAGCTACAAACATTAAGTCGGTGAAGCTACAAACATTAAGTCGGTGAAGCTACAAACATTAAGTCGGTGAAGCTACAAACATTAAGTCGGTGAAGCTACAAACATTAAGTCGGTGAAGCTACAAACATTAAGTCGTTGAAGCTACAAACATTAAGTTGGTGGTGAAGCTACAAACATTAAGTCGGTGAAGCTACAAACATTAAGTCGGTGAAGCTACAAACATTAAGTCGGTGAAGCTACAAACGTTTAAGTTGGTGAAGCTACAAACATTAAGTTGGTGAAGCTACAAACATTAAGTCGGTGAAGCTACAAACATTAAGTTGGTGAAGCTACAAACATTAAGTTGGTGAAGCTACAAACATTAAGTCGGTGAAGCTACAAACATTAAGTCGGTGAAGCTACAAACATTAAGTCGGTGAAGCTACAAACATTAAGTTGGTGAAGCTACAAACATTAAGTCGGTGAAGCTACAAACATTAAGTCGGTGAAGCTACAAACATTAAGTCGGTGAAGCTACAAACATTAAGTCGGTGAAGCTACAAACATTAAGTTGGTGAAGCTACAAACATTAAGTCGGTGAAGCTACAAACATTAAGTTGGTGAAGTAAATATTAAGTCGGTGAAGCTACAAGGTGAAGCTGGTGAAGCTACAAACATTAAGAAGCTACAAACATTAGGTGAAGCTACAAACATTAAGTCGGTGAAGCTACAAAACGTTAAGTCGGTGAAGCTACAAACATTTAGTTGGTGAAGCTACAAACATTAAGTCGGTGAAGCTACAAACAAGGTGAAGCTACAAACGTTAAGTCGGTGAAGCTACAAACATTAAGTTGGTGAAGCTACAAACATTAATTCCAGCAATATTAAGTTGGTGAAGCTACAAACATTAAGTCGGTGGGACAAACCAGAAATGGGTGAAGCTACAAACATTAAGTTGTACTACAAACATTAAGTCAGGGAATCGAATGTTAAGTGGGTCTTCAGCATGAGTTGGTGAAGCTTTACACCACTAGAGCTACAAACACAGCCCCCATTAAGTCAGTGAATCTACTAATGTTAAGTCGGTGAAGCTACAAACATTTAGTTGGTATAGCTACAAACATTAAGTCGGTGAAGCTACAAACATTAAGTCAGTGAAGCTACAAACATTCACACACCAGTTTACACTGGTCCTTGAACTCCACGAAAAAAATCAAATTTCTAAGGCTGAATGGACATCTTATGCACGGGGTAATTCGAAAACAGCAGGGTCTATACAAAAACACAGCAAGCTCTCCATCAGACAGCATGTGATTAATCGTATCTTCGTCTGTGACACTGAAGTGATATGGATCGTATTTAAAATGGGATTTAGCTGAAAACTTTGTTCCAAGGCAGTGCTCGTGAAAATAATGAAATTAGGTTGAAACTTGAAACTTTTCAACAATGTATCTATTTCTTCTGTCATTTCTCATCTGGACATTCACTCAACCAGCCATTGGATTTAAAATAACGCAGCCATTAATCAGCATGCAGTTGACGACCTCCATAGTGTTTCTTAACATAATTTCTAACAGACGGATGTGATGCTAGACTACCTCCCACAGTTAGATGAATTGCGTTGATACTTCCAAAGCAAATTCACTTTTCACTGATTTGCAATTCATCATAAGAAACAATCTATCTTGCCAGATTGAAAGCCCTTTTGATCCGTAACATTAAATTTACATCTTCAGATCCCAATCGACAAATTCAGCTAGGGTGGAAAATACGGAGAAAGTATGGTTGGAAAACTGCTACCATCTTCCTCATACCTAAAGAGACACAGATTTTATTAAGTAGAGAAATCAAATCACTTGCAATTTCATGTAGTTAGCAATTGATTTCAGATGAGTGGAAATGAGTGAAATTGGCATGAAGAAAGCTTTGCTCACGAAGGCATACAAAACTCCATCACTGTAGATTGGCAAAATACCAGCTGGGTGCCAACTAACACAGGGATTGTTTGTAATTTCATCATTATACTGATCATAAAGTTGATATTTAGGTATGTATTTGACCAGATATAGCACAAGCTGTAATCTTGTACTGGTCCACTACACAAAATGTCATCAATGTCATTCTTCGGAGTGAATGAGTGAGTGAGCATGATTTCAAGCTGCTTTTAGCAATATTCCAGCAACATCATGGCAGGGGACACCAGAAATAGGCTTCACACATTGTATCCATGTGGGGAATCAAACTCGGGCCTTCGGCGTGATGAGCGAACGCTTCAACCACTAGGCTACCCCACCGCCCCATTATTCTCAGGAATATAAATTCATATTGACAAGATGATTCAGAAAGCAAATGAAGTTACTGAGATTATTTGTCAAGTATGTTTTTGTATTTAAACACAATATTTTAGGAATAACAAACTTTTCATTGTAGTTAATTTAAACACATCTCGTCTGAAATTAAAGCAGGTGTCTGGAACCAAGATAACACCTTTTGTATCATAAACCAAACACATGAGTGAGTGGGTTTAGTTTTACGCTGCACTCAGCAATATTCCAACAATATGGCAGCAGACATAAACACATGAACATGAGAATCGCGTTATCACATTATCACACTTGAACTCAAAGTCTAAGATCTATTTTCGTTCATTAACATAATTTCAGAAAAGGCATATGAATACAAAGCCTGAGTGATCCGCCCCATATGTTATACACAGCCAGATTCAGCCAAGCTGGTGCCACAAGCACTTTCACATTGGGAAACCTAAATTAACTTTTGTTGAATGTTATGCAAATGTTTTTGAGTAAGCTGGTATCACGTCTATGTAAAGATCTATTATATGAAATGTGAGGTATGTGACCATATTTGCATTATTATCAGATCTTAATACAAAGGTTAGGCCAGACCAATTTTATTTCTTGTTCTACGGATTTTTGTCCTCAGAAAACCTAAAGGCAGGAGGGAAAAAAAATAAAAATAAAATCACCAGTCAAAGTAATATTCCTTCTAAATATTAAAAGTATTTTGCTTCTGGCAATTTATGAAGTGCTTATGGGGCAAAAAAACAATCAATAAAGAATTTCTTATAAGTTTGCATTTTTGGCCAATAAAAACATAAGGATTTTATTTTTGAGCGGGGAATATTATTATTTTATTTTTTTCTTATTCTTGAAAAAATACGACTGGCGGATCTGTAAAACAAGAAATAAAATTGGTCTGGCCTTATCAAAGGGCCTATGAAGGGCTTCCCATGTCAGATCATGTTCGTCCACATATTACCATTCCCATCACAACTGGAATACAATCTGATTTTGGGAAATAACATGCTGCCTAAATAGATATGTTTGTCAGGCTGCTATCAGTTGAGACAGA